GAGCCCGTCCTGCCGCCGCGACGCCTGGGGCCGGTGGCCGCCTTCTGGGAGCGCTTCCTGCAGCCCGGCGGGTTCTGGCGGCAGCAGGTGAGCGGGGGACAGCGGCCTCGCACCGCCTCCCCCGGGCCGGGCGGGCGGCCCCGGGCCTGACGCACGTCCCTGTGCCCCGCAGGTGTTCAAGGCCTGCCAGACCGGCGGCTTCGTCCTGACGCGGGTCGTGGTCCCCTTCTGGATCATCACCTACTACGTGAAATACCACGTCATGGTGTGTGCCGCCCCGCTGCGCGGGCTCTGAAGGAAACGGGGGTTAAGAGGAAAGCGAGGGAAATCGGGGTTAAGTCCTGGGAGAAGCCCTTTTGTAGAGGAGGTGGGGGCTGGTACAACAAGCAGTCTCATGAGGGATTGTGTGAACATGCTGGTTAAGCGTCTGCTGCAGGTCACAGTGATTTCCCATGGCCTGTTCGCTGTTTGTTTTCCCCTTCCTGGGTAACACAAATGCATTTTTTTGTGATCTTCTGTGGTAGTGACCAGCTTTTGCTGTGCTGCCTCCTGTGAGATGGAAAGCTATGTCTTAATTGTTGCTTTCCTGGAGGAAGGGTGACCCTGGGAATAGCCAGACTGCTGCTGGTGTGGGGAAGAGGAATGGCCAGTGCACTGATGATGGGACAGACCTTCCATTTCTACACTCTTGCTTGGCAGGGGTAATTTTATTAACCTCATGTATTTCTTTAACTAGTGGGAAGAACCTGGCCAAATGAGCCTTGTACTCAGTAGAGCCTGTGTTTTAGAAGGGTCATTTTCCCCATTTTGGAAATTCTTTGTACTTCCTTTGGGTAACACTTGTTTTTCTTTGCCCCGTCCCTTTCTTCCCCCCACTTTCAGAAAAAGCCACATGGTGTGATTACATCAAATCCACGGATATTCCCAGTAAGTCTATTAATACTTGTTTTATCTTTCAGCTTTGTAAAACAGGTAAAAAAGGGATGATTTGGGGGAGAAAGGCAGGTTTGTGCAATAGCCGTGCAGGGACAATTTCTAGAAGGAAGAGGTTGATACTGTGGGCAGGCTGCCCTGGAGCAGCACAGTTTTCTGAGCAGTTTTCATCTTGTCCTCAGAGCAGACAGTGCCTGTTTCAGTGGTACCTCCATCTGTAGTGGCACACTTTTGAGTACCTGGCTGACAGCACTGCCCATCCTGGGTGGAAAAAAATGTTCCATTATGGGAACTTAAGCGTTCATGACAGTGCAGTAACAGTATCTTTGTGAAGGGGGTCGAGTATTTAAAGCCTCTCTCAAAGAGTGGTTCTGCTGCACCTCACTGACAGGAGCAGCGATTGCCACGAGGAGTTCAGTGCTGAGCATGTTGGTTCTGGCCGCACAAGCTTGGTCCCAGGTGTCCCTGAAGGTCCTCCATGCTCAGGCATCCCCAAAGGGATAGACTTATGTCACCTCAGCTTGGGATAAGTTTATGAAGTGGAGAGTGTCAGATTGTTTGGTCTTTACAGTTTTCAGGCTGCTCCAAGCTGTTCCTTGTTGATTAGTGTAGTGGGTCAGTGCGGAAATGTTCATGTAGAAGTTTAGCTCTGCTCTGTTTCTGACAGTTGCATGTTTTTTGCATAACACCTGCCTAATTGTGCTTAATCTAAAATAAAATTATTAAAAGTTCCATCTCTAACAACCACATAGCAACATACTGAAGGCCAAGCTGTGGGCCTCCGACTTCAGCCTACTCACTCAAGTTAGGTCAACTCAGTAGGCCAAGACAGTGCTGGGAGCTTTAACAAATGGCAGCTGGGCATCAGATTGATTTTTGAGGGATTACGTAGCTCTTTGTGAGCTACAGACTTGGGTTTGGAGACTCACAGCTGGGTTATATTAAAGGTAGTTATGCCATGCTGTAAGTCCAATATATGTTTTTTTAAAAAAGGTAGTTTCAGAATCTTTGGCTACTATTCTTTAGATGAAAAGCAGGTGTAAAGCAAGTACAGATTTCAGGTAAATTGGGTGTGATGTTATTTCAGCATCCTGGGAAATGTTCAGTGGATGAAAGTGTTCTGAGTAACTTGTATGATTTTTTTTTTTTTTTTTTTTTTTTTTTTTTTTTTTTGGTTTGGAAGTGGGGACAGTTACATCTTAATTGAAAGACTATGCTGTGTGAAGGGAGAGACTGCATGTAGGAGGAAATGCTCACCATCCTCTCTCATTCCATCAGGGCGACAGAATTTTAGAGACTGGAGAAATTATGCCACCCCTGAAAGATGAACCCAATGAGCACCACTGATGGCTAAAAGCTGATTTCCTCATTCAGCGAACAAGGCGGGAACTGCAACTGGTTAATCTCTTCTATAAAACAGTCTTTATTCTGCATCGCCTCAGCTTTTCTGTCACTTACTTTCTCCTTAGTTGCTACTTGTACAGGAATTTTTTTTGCCTTTGGTGAGCTTTATTGCTAAGGCCTGGTGATCTCTGACCCAGCTTCCTCAGCTTTTTTATCTGACCTGACAAGATCTGGTGGCAGGACAGCGTGGGCCTTGTAGTAACAGGAGAGATGCTGTAGGTCCCAGGGGATGGTGGGGCTGTCTGCTCGAAGGAAGGGTGTTGTGGTGAGCTCCCACATGCACACAGCAAGCCCTTTTCTGCCAACTAGTTCTGAGAGAGACTTCCAGTGAAAGTTATCTTTTGCCTATGTCATCCCAGTTCTCTGCCAAGAGAGGGTAGCAGAAGTGGCACTGCTGCCAAAAAATCTTTTATTTTTGACCCTTTAGCACTTCCTTCTCTGTCTTGAGCCCTTTCTGAGTTGGACTCTTCCTTCCCTCACAGGCCTCATGTATCTGGATGCTTTGTACTGGGGAAGACTAACCTCTTAATGAGCAGGGAATTGGAGTCCGTGATAGGGAGTTGGAGTCCATGATCCTTATGGATCCCTTCCAACTTGATTCTATGATTCAGAGTATTTTGGTGGCTACTTTGGGGGGTAGAACTGGTTAAACCAGCAATCCAAAGGGTAACCTGAGGTACATGAGGGGAGGTGCTAGGACAGAAGCCCCTCATGACCTCATGGAACCATGTGTGACCAGTATAGCCAGTGATTGTGAGGTCAGGGTGACAAGCAGGAGCTGCTGGCCCTGGGGGCAGCCAGACCCCTCATAACCCCTCCAGTAGGTACTCACACCAACAGGGTCATTGCCAGTGCAGGGGAGAAAACTCCCCTGCAGCTGAAGGAGATCAGGGAGGCCATGGACCCCATGTCAGGGTACCCATGCTCAGCCTTCAGCCCCCCAGGCCTTCTCCAGGCCTCCAGCTTCCTCAGGTAAAAAGCAGCTCAGGGTAGGACAGCAAGTGGAGAAGCAGTTGTGGGCTGTGAAGGGGAAGTCGGATCCTGTGGGTCATCACTGGAGGTTCTGGAGAGGGGCACTGGAGAAGCTTGAGGGTCCCTGTGGAAGCTGGAGAGTCAGTGGGTACTGTTGGGGTGCATTGGGGAAGATACAGAGTCAAGGGGGAGACTAGGGAGTTGATGGGGGCTATTGAGAGTTATCAATGGCAATAGGGAAGCGATGGGGTTAGAGGGGTTGTGGGGGCTGCAGGGGGGCTGAGACCTGTACTTCCTTCCCATGGCCACGTGGGTCCCTGTCACTACCTCTGCCCCACGGTGTGTCAGTCCCCCCAGGAGCGCTTTTCCTCCAAACTGCTGCAGTTTGAAGCGAACCTTTGCCTGCACCAATTTGCTGCTGCTCAGCCTGGCCAAGCCCAACACCGCCGCAGATGGGGAGGCTTCCCCTGGCTCCCACCTCCACGCCCTGAGCCCCAAGGATAACACTGAGCCCACCACCCCACTGTTGAGTGACTGCTGGGGATGCCCCACCTTTGCCTGGGGTCCCCTGACACCCCCACCCCACTAATGAGAGGCTGTTGGGGTGCCCCACATCTCCCAAGGTCCCCCTGCACACTTCTGCGATGCTTGTGAGCAGCTGGAGACTGTGACATCTCCTGAGGACACCCCATGAGGATGCCTGATACCCCCAGGGCTCCCCGCTTCCCCTGAAGAAGCCCTGACACCTTCTCTAGTGAGAGCCCCCCAGGACTACATGAATTCATAGTGCCCCCCAAGTCCCATCGACATTACTGCAGCTCCAGCACCCCTAGAGCCACCCCTGATGCCCCCTGTCCATACCATGTGGGGCCCAGGTGGCTGTTCTAGGCCACAGACTCCGTCCCAAGTCTCAAGGACCAATGTGGGTCAGCTTGTAGAGCCCCAGGATTGCTTGGGCATTTTGGAACAAATAACCCTCCATGAGCAGTGGGATTGGATACCTCTCCCTCAAACAGGGAGGGGTTTGGTTGTCACAACCCCACAAAAAAGACAATATAGGACACAGAACGTGTCTTGGCACAATTACAGCAGGAGCATTCACCACCACCGCCTCGCCTGCATCACTGAAGAAGACAGCACGTGACACTCAGCGAGCAGGAGGACCCACGTGCCCCCCCACGATGGAAGACACCGTCCTGCTGGCAGCATGCTGGTCCTGTGCTGTGAATGGGCCTCTGCAAATACAGCATGGCTCTTCCCTTGGGGACTCTGGGCCTCAGTTATACTGCTCAAATTCTTTGAGTCTCATTTCCCTCTTCTGCTAAATGTGGGTGATGTGTTCTCTTGATGGTGAAATCAAAATTCTGGGTTTGTACAGTATTGTTCCCTTAAATGTCCTTTTGTGTTACATGTGCACATACACATATGTACACACAGGACTACATCTACATAACTTTGAGATCCCTACTACCTAAAAAAATATGATAGATGCACATATCTGTAATACATGTTTAGTGACGAGTTGCAAAAAGCCTTCCATTACAGCAGCTCAAGGACACATGGAGGAAGACCTTCCTCCCAAGTAGGTGATAGACCCTATGTTCTGGGCTGTGGCTTTCTGTCCAGCCCTTCGGAGAGCCATCAGAACCTCCTTGTTCCTTGGGCTGCAAATGAGGGGGTTGAGGACAGGTACCAGGAAAGAGCCACTTACCAGTCCCAAGCTAGGGTAAACTGGAGGCAGAGCAGGAGGTAAGGATGGAGGGAAGCACTTGTGAAAAGCTTGGTGTCTTGGGAAACCAGGACTGGAAGATCCTTGGGTGGCTGAACACATTAGCCCTTCCTCCCTCTCACCTGATGCGCCTTGAGCAGGAGCTGCTGGCTCCAGCGCTGGTTGCAAGAACTCAGCCAAGCAGCCTCCATGGGCATCCTGCAGTCCTTGTCAGCCCTGTGCTGGGCTAGCTGGGTCTGCTCCCAGTCAGCTCTCAGTCTCTCTCACCCCACAAGCAAGCTCCTTTCCCTGAGGAGATGGAGCCACCCCATCAGCACCTCTGTGTACGCTGACGTACGGTGCAACCTCGAGGATTCATGTGGCTGTTTGTTGGATCTTGACTGCAAGTCCATGGGGCCAGACAGGCTGCAGCCTAGGGAGAACTGGCGGATGCTCTTGCAGAGCTACTCTCTATCAGCTTTGAAAAGTCACAGTGACTGAGGGGAAGCTGTCAAGACTGGAGGAAAGCAAGTTTTGCACCCAGTGTCAAAAAAGGCTCAAGATGACCTGGGCAGTGCCAGGTCAACCAGCTTCCCTTCAGTCCCCTGGAAAAAATATGGAATGAGTCCTTTTAGAAGGCATGGCAGGTGAAGAAGAAGGGGAACAGTCAGCATGGAGTTATTGTCTGAAAAATGCGATTGCTTTCTGTGATAAGATGAGGAGGTTTGATCCGGGCAGAGCAGTGGATGACATTTACCTTGCCTTCAGCGAGGCTTTCAGTGCTGCAAAGGTATTCGTTTCCAGGAACGCAGTTCACTGAAATATTGATGCCTCTGCTGTGTCGGCCAAACGTTTGATTCTCTTTATAAATCAATGCCAGAAATAGGAACTGATCTGGAATAACTGGAACCCTCTGTCCATTGCTCACAGATGAAGATGTGATGGCTAATACAATTTACATGCTTCGGTTTATACATCTAAAATTAAGTGATGTGAATCCCAGTTCATGTGATTTCCTAACAGAACACGCTAGCATTCATCCACTACTTGAAATCACTTTGTAACTGGGAAAAGTGGTTTTATACATTTTTTCTCCAAATACAGAGGGCCAAGCTGCTAACAATTTCAGCCAGAAGCTGCCCTGTCACGCCAGGAGAGCTGAATGTCAGCAGCTTTTTTTATTGTGCTGTGTAGACAGGATGTTGAAATCCACATCGAGTACGCAGTGACTCCTTTCTTCGCTCAGCACTATGCAGCCATACTTCTCATGTCTCAATGATCATATGCATAACAAAAAGGGCTTAACTCAATTGCCCACACGTAAGTGTGCAGAGACATTTTAGGGGCTTTGAGGGTTCTCCCTTGTCTCCAACTGCTACTCAGTAAGGTTGATGATAGCGAGGATGAAGACATCCAATAGGTCTCACGTGACGTGTTGCAGACTTGTGTGGACATCTGAGGGTACCTCACATGGCACCAGATGCCAATGAATGGTGCCCAAATGTGTCACTGTGGGCTGAGTGCCCAAGCTCCTGCTACAGCTATGCTCAGTACTTCAGACAGTGACAGGTCTTACTCGAAATAGCCACCGTTGGTGTAGCCAGTGGCTGCTTTCTAAGCACAACTTCACCCTTTCCCCTGGGGACCCTGACAGCATTTGCCCTACAATGGGCAGGGAAGCCCCACCAGCCATTTCAGGACGCTGACCCCGTACGCCTGTGCAGGGCCATGTGCTGGAATATCTGCCCTGTGCTTTGGTCGAGCACAGGCAGAGCCCCAGGGAGGCACCGAGCCCTGCGATTTCCCCAGTCCAGGAAACTGCCTGGGAGTGAGGGCAGGGGGGACTGTTCTTCCCCTGGTCTGCTCCTGGCAAACAAAGGGAGAGCTGCCTCAGCAGCCTCTAGAAGAGATCTGTCTACAGATAAATGCATTGATCTGGCTAGCAATTACATCTTACAGAGAGATGAACAGAAGCAAAAGCTATCCACTTGGCTTTTGGTCCCTGTATCATCTTTATAGAAGATAGGTCTCCCAAATGTGTTGCTATCACAACTCCCCTCAACTGCCCACACAGAAAGCCTTGGGTCCCCTTTGGGGAGAGCCCAACAGCCTAAAGATAACATTTCCCGTATTAAGCAGCTGTCCTTTTTCATTTAGCAACCATTAACTCTCCAAGTGTGGTAGCACAAACAACGCTGCTTTTGCTGGAATGGCTTTCACATGCGTGTGTGCTGCATCGGCTTGGCTGATTCACATCTGGGATCCCCCTTCCTTTTCCATTTGTGACTCCACGAGGGGAGCACCCCTGCACCCTGAGCTCAGCAGGTGCTGGATGAACCACTCCCGCTT